TCAGTTGCTTTCTTCTGTAAAGCAGGAACCCTGAAGGACCATCCTATCTCTTGGCAAGTTCAGCAGTCACTCTCCTTTGTAACCTGCTTGTCCAGTTTGGACAGCGTGCTTACTGTCAGCAGTTGAGGCAAGGACAGTTCTTTGCCCAATAGGACAGTTTTGGCACATTGGCAGCAAACTCCAGAATGAGTTTCTTCAGTGCTTTTCTTTCTCTCTGACATAATTTGTGTTGCCAGGAGCATTTGTGTCTCATTGTCATGAAAAACCCTAATAACCATTTTAAATGTCACATTCTGTAGGTCTTTGAAAGGTTTTGAGGCATACCTAATCATTTGAAAAAATATCTCTGTATATCTAGAAAACCTAACCAACATAAGTTTTGACGATTATAGGTGACTATCTATAATCTGTATTTAATTATACATTACATTTTTAAAAGAGCTCTATAAAGATAATACCTAAACAAGAGTAGAAATATACATGTAGCAAAAATGCCCTTAAATTTTTATCAATAAACCAAAATTCATACCAATGCAAAATACTCATGTCTATATCATATTCCCTGTTTTTCTTTAGAAAGAGATTGACTGTAATCATTAACCGTTTAAAGCCAGCCTCACTTAAATGAAAACAGACATTTATAAACAATATTTGGGAATGTGGGTGTAGTTCTCTCCAAACTGCTTCCTGCTGTTTGGGGGTGCTATCAATCCCAAGAAGATTCTGAGAAAACATAGAACCCTGGTCTGTGGGCCTGTAAGAGATAAACATTCTGAAAATAAGAGCAGATTTCTTGAGATTTGCTCGAAGTATTTTTTAGTTTAGAAACAGCTTGGAATATTTTACACTTAACATGTGTAGGAAAAGTAAGTCAGTTTAAGATTTATTTGAGTTAATAAGCATGTTTAGTATGAAAAGCTGAATTTATGAACTCAACTATTTTCTCCATGATAGGACTTTTTGCTAACTTTAGGCTTTCTTACAAGACCACTGAAATCACCTTCTTTGAGGAAATCAACCATTTTGAATGTTTCACTAAAACTTTTAACACGTGAAAACAGTATATAATCATCCTAACGCAATTAAATTTTGAGTCTTTTTTTTTTTTCCCCTAGTTCTTCTCACTAGATATCTCAATTAGGGTTACTGTTGCTGAAACACTTTGGAACAAAGCAACTTGGGGACAGAAGGGTTTATTGGGCTTATGTTTCCATATCACTGTTCATCATGGAGGGAAGTCAGGACAGGAACTCAAACAGGGTGGGAACTTGGAGGCAGGAGTTGATATAGAGGCCAAGGAGGTGTACTTGCTCCACATAGCTTCCTTGCTCAGCCTGCTTTCCCAGGGCTGGCCTCATCCTCAGTGGTCTGAGCCCTCCCCCATCAATTACTAATTAAGAAAATGCTGTATAGAGTTGCCTACAGCTGGATCTTATGGAGTCATTTTCTCAATGGAGGCTCCCTGCTCTCCAGTGACTCTAGCTTTTGTCAAGTTGACGTAAAACTAGTCAGCACACTAGACTTGAGTATTCATAAAAAGTTGATGTGTGTTTTTTCAGGGCTTATATTTTTCCACAACGAGCATTTTAATTATGGACTCTGCCATAGTTTTCCAGTAGCAGAATTGGCTGGAGTTGAGTCCATTGTGACTTGTGTATAGTATCTGAGGTCTTCTGCATGTCTTCTTATCTGTCCTATTTCCTCAGTAATTAGATTTCAGATTAGTGGTATTTTGCTTTGTTTCAGGACTGCAATACCTTTGGAGGTTAACCTGTTAGATTCATTTCAAGTGTTAGAAGCTCAGCTTAGATTGGATTTAGCAAAGAAAGGAACGAACTGACTGGGTCATATGACTGAATTATTTGTTGATCTAGTTACACAGCGAAGTGTCTAGTAAATTAGTGTGATCTGTTGCAAGCTTCAGGTATCTAGTGTCTACCTCCCTAGCAATGGGGGTGCAGGTGCACCTTGGTGCACACAGCTCTTTGTTTTTACATGAGTGCTTGAGAAGGAGCTCCGGTCCTCAGTGCCTCACAGCATTCATCTTTAGAGCACTATACTTTTAGAACATTTTTATCATTGCAAAAATAAACTTTGTACCCATCCCCAGTAATTTCCTCCTTTTCCGGGTTTGGGCAACTACTAATCTATTTTTGTCTCTCTGGATTTGCTTATTCTACTTAACTCCTAGATTTGTCATCTCTTCCTTATAATCTTCCCTTTTTGGGTTCTCTTTCAGAATGACTGTAGGTTTTGCATAATTACTAGTTTGATGGTTATGACTCTTCATTTTCTACCATTCTAATACCTGAAATAATAACTAGCACTTAATAGCATTGCTGGTATTTAGGGAGTTGAGAAAATTAATCTAGATACTACAGTGAGTTTGGGCTATGTTTCTGGTACTTAACCATTGGTTAAGAGTAGTTAGTGTTTATTATGATTTAGGAGGTTTTTTCTATGTTCCTCATTTATCCTTTTTACCTGTTTTTTTTGTTTTGTTTTGTTTTGTTTGTTTTTTGTTTTTTGTTTTTTTGATGTGCCAGCAAGATAGATCCCATTTAGAGTTCTTTATGAATGTCTTTTCTTGCTTCTTCCTCTTTGTTCATTATACTTCCTCTGTTAGCATTTCCCCCAAGGCTTTCCAGTTTCCTAATTCATATTTACCTCTTTAGGCATAGTCAGAGAATTTTGTTTGCCTTTCTTTTCAGAAAGCTCTTCTAAGAGCTACCTGGTCTCTTCACATGATATTGCTTAGAAATGATCTATATTTCATAGGTCTAGTTCAGTGATCTTATCTGTTAAAATGTTTGTGCATGTACTTAGAAATTGTGTGTGTGTGTAAGTAAAATATGGTAATGGTTACTTTCAGTTGTCAACTTGACACAATCTAGAATTACCTGGGAGGTGAGTCTCAATGAGAGGTTGTTTAGATGTGGTTGGCCTGTGGGCATGTCTGTGACAGGTTGTCTTGATTACATTAATTTAGGCCAGAAGGCCAGACCATGGTGGGTGGCAGTGCTTCCTGAGTTTGGTCCTGCACTGTATAATAGAGATGAGATGAGCACAGACATGCACCTATTCATGCTCTCCTTGCTCTCGATTGTGACTCTGTCTAGCTGCCTCAGGTTCCTGACTTGATTTTCCCAAAGTGATAGACTTTAACTTGGAATTGTAAACTGAATAAACCCTTTATCCTCTTAAGTTATTTCATCATAGCAACAGAAATGAAACTAAAATGACCAGTTTAGTGTGTAGTAAATATTTATATTTTGATAAAAATCACATGAAAGGCCTATTACTTACATCCTGTTCATTCTAATGGTGGCTGGATTTTTTGATGACAGGCACTGAACTTTTACCTGTGTTTTTACTTCATTTGTAGAAGCTTTTCTTTTTTTGCCATAACACTCTTTCTGTATCTTTATCATAGCACTTATTGTGCTGCATTTTGTAGTTACTGGTATATACTTGTCTTCTTTCAAGAGACTATCTTGAACTTTCATTTTTGATGCTCCTAGTAGCTTGCACAGCAGCTAGTACGTAGCACATAATTATTTGTGGAATCAATAAGCTTAACTGGAAAAGTGGGATTAATTTACCCTATTCTGGAAATAATTAAATGCTTATGTTTAAATTATGATGAGGAACTAGTTTTTTGTTTGTTGTTTAGTTTCCAGGCCATTGTGTACTTATACTTTTGGAAAATATAGTATAAATTAAATGCCAGGAAATATCTTAAAAGGTGATTTTTTTTTAACTGCCAGCTTTTTTTTTTTTTTTTTTTTTTTTTTTTTTTTCAACAGCAAAAATTATCTCTTCAAAGAGTCTGTAGGGATGGAGAGATGGTTCAGTACTTGTTATTCAAACATGAGAATCTGAGTTAGAGTTCCCAGAACTCATGTAACACTCATTGGACATGGCATCTCATGTCTGTAACTAAGCACTTTTGGGACAAGATGGGAGATAGAAGCAGGAGAACTTCCAGAATTCACCATCCAGCCAGCCTGGTATAAAGTGGTAAACAAGAGCCCCTCTCTCAAACAAGGTGGAAGGAGAAGAGAAAACCTGATTGTTCCCTGATCTTCACGGGTGTGCTCTGGTACATGTGCTCCTGTGCTCACACATACACATGGATGTTAAAAAATCTGCATCTTCAGTGGGCCATGTATTGTAGAACAAACCTTTTATAAGCACCATGGCCAACGTTTTATCTCCGTTCTCAGAAATCTGGGGTATTTACTGGTGACACTTTATAGGAGGAATCTAAGGAATAGAGAAATTGATGTAAATTGCTCCAGGTCATATCACCATGCAAAACATCAAGAATTTAAGTCTACATAACCCCATCTATCTCCAAAGTCTCTGTCTAGCATCTCTTATTTCATAAGTGTGAAATAAGATAGCATTCTAATATAAGAATGTTAAGGACAGACATGGATGAAGACACATACAATCTCAACTCAGAATGTAATTATTTGCCTAAAGAAAGGGAGGGATAGGGGTGTGGTAATTGGTCAAGTACTTCTTAAGCATGAAGGCTGCCCAGCACACTGAAGGGGTGGTGGTGGTGAGTAGTCACATGATTTTCATAGAGTAGCATGGTAGAGGATGGTGGTCAGCTGTTCTTTCATCCCCTTAGTCAGCATCTGTTTATATTTTGCGTCAGTTAATATTAAAAGTATATGATTTGTTAAACAAAAGAGTGATGGTATTTCTCTGGAATGTGTCTTTGTTCTATCACTCTGTTTCAGATACTGAATATTGTTTTTGTTTTGTTCCTCTTAGTTAATAGCATAATCTAATTGTAATTACAATACTATAAGCAAATAGTGTTATAAAAATATAAGTAATGATCATATATTATTATGTTAATTATGATGATCATGTCACTGATCCCAGTGTTTTATATACAATAGTGTTTTATGAAATTGGAAACTTCTAGAATATTTTTTATTTTGAAAGTATTGTTTATAAAATTATGACTTTTCTTCCTATAGAAATCTGGTTAAGAAGTACTGTCCCAAACGCTCATCCAAAGATGAAGAGCCAAGGTAAATCTAGCCTGTTAGTTTCTGCATGTTAGAAATATTTATATATATATATATATGTATATATATATATATCATTACTTTGTAAAATATACTGTAATTGTCTCATGAAAATTTTTTTGAAAGTTTGCTTTAGTAAAAACATCACAATGGACTACTATTTATCTTTTGAGGGTAGATACTTTGATGAACTTAATAATGTTTTGTTTGTTTTTTGGTTTTGGGTTGCCTTTTATTTTTGTCTTTTTAGAATAATTGAAAAGGGGGACTTTCAAGTAAGACTTAGAATGGGATTTTGAGTTGTTTAGTTTCCCTAAGAAAGGAGTCTTTTCCACACTTACTATGTAGTTGTCATTAGCTTTCTAACAGTTTTGCCTTGCAGGTAGTGAAAACTGCTTGGCCTGGTGGTTTTAAAAGGATAATAAAAAGTGATGAAATTTGGGGGATAATTTTTGAATCCTGAATAAAAGGCTAGAAATTATTTTGGGCTTTTTGGAAGTCTTAAACACGAATATGCAATCATTATAACTACAGAAACTAATGAGGTTAGATTCAACAGTTTTGTATATATTTATTGGTTTTTAGCATTCTTAAGGAATCCCTATCTGACCTGTCAGCTTAAGAGAGTGTTCCTTGGTGTGTTCCAAGTAGATATTTACATTTTAACACAGTAATTTTCTTTGTTTCTCTCCTTCCCTCCACACACATTTTTACCCTTATTTTTGCCCCCTTTATCCCGCTTTGGTGCCAACCATAATGGTAACACCTCCATTCAGGATGTGGGCAGGCATACTGGCAGCTGTATCCAGAGCTGATAGCAAAGTTCTGTAGATCAGCCATCAAGATGCATTTGAGTGGTATGATTGGCAGGTCTGTCCTCGAGAACAAGCACATCATCTCTGCAACAGGTTCAGCTGCCAAGCCTAGGAATCCACCCAAGTGATTCCCAAGCTCAGGTCAGTCAGTTGGCAACCTAAGAGATTCCACTATGTCAAAAGAGCCTGAAGGTAGTATTCTTATTATATTTGACCCCCAAATATCCCTTTATTTATACATTAAAGGCTACTTAAAGATACTTAAACATGTACTTAAACTTAAGCTTAATGCAGGATTCTTTCCATATGTAGTTAACTTAGAACCAATAGCTGGGATTTAGGTTGACCTTATTTAAACTTGCTTTTAGACACGAAAAGTACCTCACCAAAACATTGTAATAGAAGCAAAAATGAATCTTATTATTTTAAATATGTTTTGCCAGGTTTACTTCTTGTATCGCCTTTTTTAACATCCTTAATGAGTTAAACGACTATGCAGGACAGCGAGAGGTAGTAGCGGAAGAAATGGCACACAGAGTATATGGTGAATTAATGAGATATGCCCATGATTTGAAAACTGAAAGAAAAATGGTAATCTTTATAATTTTTATATAATTACAACAGTCTTATAAAATTGTTTTAGACTAATAATTATTTCTCTTTTTAGAAATATATGTTCAATAAAAACTGGTTTTCTATATTATTAAATTTCTTTTATGTAAAAATTGTGAGATCAGCTTTATCCAAATGTAATAGCATCAATTCTTGTACATAAATTTTTCTTGGTGGTATGTTTTTAGATTATATTAAACAATAAAATTGATTGTAGACACTCAAAACAAACAAAAATTATGAGATCAGAATATACTGTGAAAAATATTTTTCAGTAAAAAAGAAACACTGTGAGATATGCTTACCAGTTTGGTGGGGTTTGGCAGCATACAGCCCACAGACTTTGAAATACTTTTTTTGTTTCTTAGATCTCATAAGCTAAGAATACTTTACATATTTAGGTGATTGAAAAAAAATTAGAAACTAAGTGTTCTTTGGCATATAAAATTTGAATTTTAGTATCCATAAAGTTTAATTTGCATTCACTGAGTTTGATATTTTCTGTGGCTACTTTTGTATTGTGTAGACAGAATATCATTTGGCTGGTAAACTTAAAAGATGTATTACTATCTGACTTTTTATAGAAAACCCCTATTGAAGATGATCATTATTTCCTTTAGTACTTTGCCTACTTTAAAGTTATTTTAAAAATATTAATCTGTAAGATGTATTTTAAAGTTTGTTTTATTCTCTTTCTGATTCTAGTTAAATATATATGTATGTATTTTATCATCTTGAAAAAAATGAAGAGCCTTTTACTTACTATGTAAGTGTAATTATTTTTGTTTGTTGATGGTTTTAATCTTCAGCATCTCCAAGAAGGACGAAAAGCTCAACAGTACCTTGACATGTGTTGGAAACAGATGGATAATGTGAGTTACGTATTTTCATGGTTGATCAGAAAACCCCTAGCCCCCTTTATACTTTATCTCTGAGTCTAATATTTCTAGTGTATTGTTCATAATCTGCCATTTGTTTTGTTATAGAATAACCAAGAAATATAAATGCAGGATGTGAGTTCATTTCATTTTTCCCTATTAAATACTTAGACAAATTCTCTTCCCTTCATGTCATGGTATACATATGGTAGAGAAATTTATCCAATGTCAAGAGGGGTTTGGAGTGGTGGGAAACTATTTGCCTTAGAGGAGAGAACCAAGATTATGGTTCTTGAACCTTTTTAAACACTATTTCTCTTGACCTTTTTAGCATATGAATACTGAAGAGCAAGGGCTACCTTATTGGAAGTGTTTCTTCTAGTTCAGTAGTCCTTCAGTTCTGTAAGCTCCTACCTGTAGGAAAGAACTTAATAGGACAGAGTTAGAAAACATATTGTCTACTTAAAATTTCCCTGAGGTCCTTGATAATGTGGATTTTCTTAAAGGTTTTGGTAAACATATAGTGTCCATATAGGTACTATAGTCGTCTTTACTGGAAATGCTGGATTGAAAGACTTTGTAGTATAAAATAGTGTTTTTAAAAGTTCAGGTTGCCAAGTGGTTGGCTCTTTGCTAGCATTTTTACAATAGATAACTATATTTAAGAATCATGCTGAAGAAAAGTTTTTCGTGATTGTTGGAAGGACTTTGAGGTTGGAATTTTACAAGTGTATGCAGGATACACTGGTTTCTCTTCATACTGTGCAAGTCTTTGGCATGTTGAGAGCTCATGCATATATTTGCCATGCTTTTTATAATTTCCTGTTAAAATGCATATTCAAAACTTGATTCTACTTATATTTATCTGTCAATGATTTTAATTACCAGCACTGATTTAGTGTTTATAGGTACATTAATAGTCTGTTCTCATTTTCTTTATAATTGGTTTTACCAAGACTTTAAGGGAGGATTTTTATTTATTAAATTTTAAATTACTGTCAGTGGCATCCTTAGTTTCTGCCATCTAATAAGTGTGAGAGAGTGTGTGGATTTTCATTGCACAGAATAACATACTCCTGTAAAAAGGAGATACTGGTTTCTCTAGAAGTGGCTGTTGACACAAATCTGTTGACAATATGTGCTGACTTGCCTTTAGAACAACTGGCAGTTATTAAGAAAAAGTTGCAAAGGTCGTAAGTAAGAAAGAACCATTGCAAAAAATTTCAAATGTATTTTTAAGTCATTAATAATATTATGAGAAGTAAATTCAACCCTATTCAACCCTTTATTTGTACTTGTCCCTATATGTTCAAAAGTAAATATGGTATGGCTTTTTTTTTTTTTTTTATGGAGTCTGCAGTCAGTGAAAGAGACTGACAAGTATAATTTATGTTTAATGTGTAAAAACAAGTATAGGATCCTATTCCTTACTTTTTTGTCTTTCGTTTTAGTCAAAACAAAATTATGGAATTCCTAACATGTTTGGCATAATTGAAAGAAACTATAAAGAACTGGGGGAAATAAGAACCTGGAAAAATTTGAAGAAAAAGTTGGAAGACAATTGTTACTCCCAGGGTGAACAATGGCACTTAAACTGAGGGCATAAGAAAATAGCCTATGAAAGAGATCTTGAAGGGATGGATGGTTAGAACTTAGGAAGATAAATGTCCGCCAATGCTAGGCCTATCAGTCAGGGTGGTCCAGATGACAGCATAGAAGTTTCTAAGAACAGAGCTCAGAAACAGCAGCTCCAGCAGTCAGCAGTGGAATGATGTCACAGTGCTTCACGTCCTCTGTGCTTATGTTATCACTCGGACTTGTGTTGGTTCTTATTCTACAGCTTTATGCCATTGGTCAGGTGTTGAGCCAGGCAGTATATCCTTATTTAAGTGACACCAAGAGGCAGGAAAAAAAGGAACTTTTGTTTTCACTATCCTTTTTTATCAAGGCCATAGAACTGCTAGAAAATCCCAGCAGACTTCCTCCCTAGGTGCCTTTGATGAGCCTGTGGGGAGAGTGGGACAGCAAGTCACAGCTATTTACAGCCTCTGTGTATTGAGAGGTAGGTTCTGCTAAGAAAGAATAGGGAGTAGACATGGTTTATCCTAGTAGTGATATACTAGGAAAGGAATATTTTTAATTCATTAGTACTCATTTTTTGGTACTTGGCTGTTGCAAGGACAATATGTATCTTCCCACAAATAAGATAACTAATATAAAACACTTATTTGTAAGTAGCCTCAATTTGCATCAAAATTATTAACCCATAGCTACTGGCTCTACAATGGGATTGGGTAAATACAAAATACTCAAGTTTTCTGCTTTCTTTTTCTTGGTAATTCTCAGAACACAGATAGCGAGGCATTTTCCAGGCAAGGGCTTAGAAGAGGCTTTCTCTGGGAATTCTGACAAGCTAGTTGTGTGTTTGGGGGTGGGGGGAGATCACACAGGTATTTCCTAAGGAAACTATCGGGCTGTTTCATTCTAGAGGGAAAGACCAGGCTCATCCAGCCCTACCTATAGAGTTTTTAATGGGCATTTAAAATAAGAACACATAGCCAAAGATGCCCAGACAGAGGTCACACTAATATATAGGAAAAAAGCAACTTAGAAGAAACAACAGTGCTGGGCATGGTGGTGCACATCTTTAATTCCAGCACTCTGGAGGCAGAGAAAGGTTGTCCTCTGTGAGTTCCAGACCAGCCAGGGATACACAGAGAAACCTTGTCTTGGAACACACCCCCCCCCCCAAAAAAAAAAGAAGAAACAGCAACTATAAAAGGTAAAATGCTTAAGAATTCAAAACTGGTATTTATTTTCTCTGTGGGATAGAGGAATTACTCTATCTGTGGAAATAAGGACAGGCACTATTAAAATGGTTGTTGTAAAGAACAAAAAGGAGTTCATGGAAGGAGAAATGAAAAATCCAGTAGAAAGAAAGATAAAATTGAAGTTGTCTTTCAGAAAGTAAAGCAAAAGAACAGAGGTTAAAACTATGAAACATCGTAATAAAATTAGATTTCATTTAGCAGTTTTTTTTCAAAATAATAAACATGCTACATATAAAAGAAAATTGGGAATAAATAAGTCCAGAAGAAAAGTCTTCAAATGTAAAGTCATGAATTTCCTGAAAGAGAAACACATGTTTAGTCACAGCAACCTTTTAAACTGAATCAAGAATTAGAACAGGATTGGGCATATTCCAGTCTGCTTATACAGAAACCAGAAAATAATCAGCCAGCAGTGGTGGTGCACACCTTTAGTCTCAGTACTCAGGAGGCAGAGAGGCAGGTGGCTCTCTGTGAGTTTGAAGCTGGCCTCGTCTACAAAGTGAGTTCCAGGACAGCTAAAGCTGTTACACAGAGAAACCCTGTCTTTAAAACTTAAAGAAGAAGAAAAAAAGAAAAAAAATTTAGAAAGCAAATAAAAGCAAAACCCCACAGAAAATAGTAGAATAATACTTTTAAATTTCTGAAACAAATTGTTTCCAACTATACTCAGCCAAAATCTGTTAGTTAACAGTGATGGTAAAGGCTGTGGGCTGTCACAGTAGCATGGATTCAGCAGGGGATGGGACAGGGTAGGGTGGTAACAGTAAAGCATTTCTAACCTCAAAAGTGGTATTTTGCAAACTTTCTAGGAAACTACTGCAGAATGATAGTGAACCTCCTTGAGATTATAGGAAAGGGAAACCCCAAGGAAACAGCTATGCACTTGGGTGGCTGGTATGATTTCAAACTTAAGCAGATTAGAAACCCAAGGAGAAACTGAACAAGAAAACAAAACTGATAGAATTCCTAATGTAAGAATTCCTACTTCCTTACCATGGAGAGATTTAACCAACGTGGGGTGACTTGAGTTGAATTAACAAGTGTATACTGAAAATCAAACTTGTGTACATATTTATATATCCATGCTTCTGTCATAAATAGCTTTTAAATGTTTCAAATGTTTCATTATTTTTTTATGCGTTTGAGTGTTTGCCTGAATGTGTTAATATATACTATGTGTGTGCCTAGTGCTATTAGAGGCCAGAAAAGAATGTCAGTTCCCTGGAACTGAAGTTACTGATGGTTGTAAGTCTACTTCCTCTACAAGATCTGCAAGTACTCAACTGCTGAGCAATCATAAGTGGCATTTTAAAAGTTATAGTAGTTTGAATTAAAGTTAGGTGTGGTGTTGGGTGCTTATAATCCTAGCACCCTGAAGGCTGAGGCAGGAGGATTAAATGTTCCAGGAAAAGTTGGACTACACAAGTGAAGTTCAGGCCAGCTTGGACTATATAGTAAAACCTTGTTTCTGCTTATTAAAGGAAGAACTCAACACACAAGTAAGTTTGTGTCTGTGCTGATAGCATTCCTGAGACATTTGACCGAAATAATAACAAACCACTTTGAAGGAACATTTCCACATGATAACTGTGTTGGGGTCCTACTAAAAAACATGGAAACAAGCACCAAAACACCAAAATTGAAGATTCATTTATACTAAAACAGTAATAAAACACCAATGAAGATTTGCTTATAATAAAAATTTCCCCCTTTTTGGACAGATGATTAGGTATATATTGAGTATTAACCATGTCCTTTTTTTTTCTTTATTGTCAAAAACTAATACCAGACATTTAAGACACATAAATACCATAATCAGTATAAATTAGTTATAGTAATACATTTAACTTTCCAACTTATAAAGGACAAATTTTATTTACAGTGTTGAGTACATTTTTACATAATACATACTGGTAACATTTAAGTTACTATCCAAATTTTCTTTACAGAGTAAAAAGAAATTTGAAAGAGAATGTAGAGAAGCAGAGAAAGCACAGCAGAGTTATGAAAGATTAGATAATGATACCAATGCAACCAAGGCAGATGTTGAAAAGGTAAGAAGTACAAACCTGCTTATAAAAATAGATTATTACCGGTGTGTATTCACTGCATACAGTCAACAATCCTACTTTGAGATGCAAATATTATAGGCATGGAAAGAAGGTACACCTTTTATATCATTATTATTCTAAATCTAAAATATGCAAATATTGCTTACTTGAAATACTATATATTGGTCTGAGAAGGAAACAAGATAATATAATATCTTAGCTGCATTCAAAATGCTCAGGAGAAACAGTGGCTACCAGGATTGTTTCTTCCCTACCCAAAATTGGATAGAAAGACCAAGATATATCCATCAAGTATGCACATGGGATGTGATTGAGTAGGACTCTTCAGCCGCTTTGCCAAGAATCTTATCTCTGATTCTGACCTGGCTATTCTGTAATATAATTGCTGGTAGGATTGGCCTTGTAATGGCCGTTGCTTAACTTCCTTGTTGTTTGGTAGAGTGCAGTTGATCACGTGCCCACTCCCCATCCCAGCTTTAATATTTCCTTATATAGACTTTATGCATCTATGTTTTGCGTTTTTGAGTTACATAGAAAAACTCAAATGCATTTTTTCATAATAGTTTTGTAGGTATTTTAGCTTATTAGATATTTTCTACTTCTAGATAAACACATTTCTTCAACTGTTCCACAAAGGAAATGGCTTGAATTACCTTTATCATGTTACTTTCCTTTTACTTCCCTTTAAGTTTTCAATATCCTATTTAGGCCATTTTCTGAAATATAATCCTAGTTTGGTCAGATTATTTCTGATTTTGATTATCTCCTTTGTCTGAGCACTAAGTTCTTGTTCATATTACCTGAGTGTATATGAAGCCAAGCAATGTTGTTTGAAATGACTCCCAAAAAGTTCATGATTATAAGGAATCCTTGTCTTTTCACATGTGTGTTGATATAAGGATGTGTCTCTAATAACTTACACTGTATTTTAAATTTGTACAGACATCTTTATTCATTATTAGCTTTGATCCTATTAAAATTTTTATATCCTAATTTTGACCATCTAATCTAATTTCCTTCACAACATTATGCCTTATCTATAATTGATCAGTGTGTTACTTGATAGTATTATGAATAACAGCAACTATTTTGTACATGGGAGACTCCTTGAAGGTTAACATCCACTCTTTAAACACTTCCTTGATTCATCATCAAAAAATGGTTATTCAAATTAATGTTCTAGGAATTTAAGGTTACTTTTTTTGGTGGACTCTTCACTTAAGATCTTCATGTTGTCTACAGAAATTAGCTTTACACAGTACCTAAGCTTCTGCTGTTTATCTTGGCCTTACTTTTTCAGAACTTTGTTATTCATGGTTTAATGTTCAATTATTTGAAGTCTCTTTATTATTAGAAAATGCAACCATTTTAGCTTGTAGCCATATTCCCTTGTACAACCTGCTGAAACCTCCACGATAGCCCATGGGACTCAGAGCTGATGGGGGTTTCCCAACAGGTCACGAGGACTTAAGGACATTTGGAATCTTTGTTCCACTGTGGTTTGTGGTAGAAAGAAAAAAGGGGATGTGTAAATAAATGTGTACTTGGGGCTCTAGGTTGGAACTTCAGGCTTTGTTTTGCTTCATTTTTTTCCCCGTAGATATGCTTTGTTTCATATTTTGGTTTACATAGTACTTTTTTGCAGTAATCTTCTAATATCCCTAGATTAAATAGGGTTTTGTGGGCTTATGGAAGATCTTGGCTACCTTGCTCCCACAGTTTGTGAGTTAAGAAGATATAGTTATAGACTAGTGTTAGGTAAATAACTTCATCTATAGAAACTAGAATTACAAGAGTGAGAGATAGGGCTGGGGATGAGAACCAATGCTATAGGACTCGTCTAGCAAGGTAATGTCCTTAATTTCAGTCCTTAGTGAAAGAAAAGAAAAAAATAGTGAAGCATATCTGTTGTGGTTTAGTGGTAGTGGCGAGAATGAATCACAGAATACAACAGACCCATGTGGAGGTTTATTCATAAGGGGGGGGTTGAAAGGAAGGGGCCATGACCGACTATACATCTGAGAAAGGGAAGTGTAGAGAGGGTGAGAGTAGGTGGAGCTTGCTTACAAGAGACTCTTTGCGCATGCGTACAGAGCCTTAAGCAGCCTTGAAAAGCCTGGCATAGCCAGCCAAGCAGCCATAGTGTCTGTAGGCTGACTTAACTATTTACCTGAATGCTGGTGAACTCATCCTGCCAGCTGACAGGGGCGGGCCAGCATTATCCCAGAATGCCAAGAATATCCCCAGTGTGCTTTATTATATTAAATGTTATATTTTGCACTTTGGAGTGATATAACACAGAGACACACAGAAACACACATGCAGTCACACCCCTTCCCACCCAACCCCACTTCTCTCTTCCTTGCTTCTTGCTATGTTGTGTCCAGGTTGCTATGGAACTCTGATGATCTCTCTCCTCAGCCTTGTATGTATGTGACACTACTGGCATGCAGTGTTGCATCCAAGGAGCCAGTTCTCACTTTGTTTCCTATTATTTTAGACCAGTTAGGAACATTTTTAAGCTCAGTGTATTTTAGGCTCAGTGTTATTAGAACTAATAGTTTTATTTATAACCTTATTAGTGTAGATAATATTCCTTTGACTTTCTGTAAGAAATTGAATGCAGAACTATTTTAAATAAGTACCTGTGGTTTCGTAGAGATGGAAACATGTTGAGTATTACATTATTTAAAACACATTTTAATCATTATTTATATCTGTTAGCTTCATATTCTGATGGGGTAAAGAAATATTTCACTACTTTTTTTAATGGTTGAAAATATTCTGGAGGTACTTGCTTTTCTTCTGTTTATAAGTGTCCTGTTTCAAGACATGTCATCCATTATTTTCTGTGTGAATTTTGTAAGAAGAGACTATTTCGGCTTATTGAAAAGAAGAGGACTACTATAATAGGGACAGAGGAATTATTGTGATAAGAAAACCATGTAAGATCTGGAAGCGTTTTCTTCAGCTGTTGGCTTATCTATTGACAAAATCTAGCTCTAGTATAATTTTCAGAAAAATTAATTAACTTTTTCTTGGTAATCAATTTTGCCTGTAGGCCAAACAGCAGTTGAACCTTCGTACACATATGGCTGATGAGAATAAAAATGAGTATGCTGCACAGCTGCAAAATTTTAATGGAGAACAGCACAAACATTTTTATGTGGTGATTCCTCAGATTTACAAGGTAAGTTTAGTCTAGTTGAGTTCAAAGAGTTCTTTTGAGACAGGGGTTTCACTGTGCATCCTCCCTGGCTGGCCTACCCTTTCCTGTCCAGGGCTAGGATTAAAGGCATGTACCACTGCTTTTTTTTTTTTTTTTTTTTTCCTTCCCCAGTTTGGAAATAAAACCTAGGATCTTACATTATCTAAGAAAACAGTTTACTACTATGATTCAGCTATAGTACCAAACCTCAAGTATTAAATCTTAGAAATCAGAATATTTCTTAATTCACTATTTGCTAATGTTGGTGATGAAGTATTTTTAAACCACAGACTTTTCTGTATATTCATTATTAATGTTCATATAACTCAGTAAGCCAATGGCTTTTTTTGAAATAAATTATAGTACAGTAAAAGTAAGCATGTTGACTGTGTAAAGGACATTTACTGTGACTAGATGTTGTAATCTGTTCACCTAGAATTGGGATTTAACATTTTTGTTTTTGTCTTTTTGTTTTTTGTTTTTGTGGTTCTTTTTGACACACCCAGAATCATTGACATTAGTGCACACTAGAGTCACTAATGGCAGCAGTAAGTCTTGTAACATGTCCTTGCTGGCCTGGCTTTTCTGTCTGCCTTGCTCATCTGCTAGGACCTTGTTGTATTATAAATCCTTGGGCTTGCTTATTCGCTCCATGCACCATCACTTAATGATAGATGTAGCAAGTAAAGAATCTAGAGTTTTCATGAGGGTTAAATTGCTGCTTTTTCTAGAAAGAAGAGAAATTAGAAGGGAGTTAGGGAATCAGTGCTGAATGAAGGCAGAGATACTGGGGAACAAGTGTCACCCAATGAGGCTTTCTTTCATTTGTAAGGCAAACATACAAAGATTTGGTGGACTAGATTTGGGTAGCAGATTCTGGTCATTGTATCCAGAGCAGCAAACCTCACTGTGATGGTATTAACTAGACAAGTCTTCATACTCTACAGCAATGTTAATTTAGAAGTAAAATACCCTTTGTGTTTAGAGGCCTCTTTGGAGCTTGCGTAGAGCAGTCTTGCCATTTTGTAATCTCTTAAACAAAACAAAACAAAAACCATAATTTTCAGAATAAACCCCCAAACCTTAGAAAGAAACAACAAAAAGTGTGAAAAGTAGAGTTTGAAAAAGTGAGGAGAGAGCAAGTGTGCACAGATGAACTATTGAACTGCCTTGGCATATTTCCTGTAGTGAGTTTGGGCTTGGGGACTTTAGGCATGTGCTCCCTTGGTGATGTGACTTACTGTTTTCCCCTCATGTTCCAACTCTGAGCTGCCAACTGTAGTAAGGTCTGGGTACCTGTTTATGTGCTATCAATTATGGATACTTCATCCAGCTAATACTGTGAACCAGTTTAAGGAGTACTTCTCAGACTTGTGTCTTAGGGCTAATTGCTTTAAAAAATAATTAGTGCTAGAATTTGGTTTTCAAATCAAACATTTCCTGATTGAAGAGGTAAAGGTGGGAGAGCTATAGCACAGAGACCTGGCTGCTGGCTGAGAAATGTTTTAGATGATCTTGAGTATCAGTATTAAAAACCTCGTTTTACTCTCCTTTTATTATTTAACAAGCCTCAGGTTACAAAAATTAAGTTTATATAGAACCATTGAAAGGTCTTAAAAATAAAATTGTATAATAAGGAAGAAATCTATTTGGGAGGTCATTAATTGTTCTCCTTCAGAATAGAAAATTCAATTTCCCTTCCTTGTTTGAATTCTGGATTATTAGCAACTACAAGAAATGGATGAACGAAGGACAATTAAACTCAGTGAATGTTACAGAGGATTTGCAGACTCAGAACGCAAAGTTATTCCTATCATCTCTAAGTGTTTGGAAGGGATGATTCTTGCAGCAAAATCAGTTGATGAAAGAAGAGTAAGTACTGTATAGTTGTCTTCGAATTGATGCATGTGGTGTAGTTCTGCAGTTGAAGCTAGTGAAATGATTTCCCAGACTTTACTTAGGAAAGAAATAACCTAAGGAATTCTTGGTTCTTAATTATATCTTGTATGAGAAAGACTTACGTAAGTTAGATTTCTTCAATGAGTTGAGCTCTAAAATTCTGATTCTTTAAAAGAAACTTTGCAGCCCTCTCCTTTGCAGTTAATTTTTTAGTTCTAATTCAAGAGCATAACCTTTGAACTGGGTTTAAATTATATTATGCTGTTATTCTATTGAAAGTTTAGAGAAGGATGTGGCTAGATCAATCTAGACCTATCAGAGTTCCCTTCAATGCACGTGTTAGTGCTTGAGCTGAGCGAGAAACCAAAGGAGGACATCAGGAGTCAAGGACACAGTCCTTGTTCTTGAGGGCTTGGATCTAGCAGGATCACAGCTTAGCCATAGTGTAGCATAATCTAGATCTGGTTATTTCTCAGTGAACTGAGTCACTAAGAAGCATGGGCAGGGAGACACTGACATACCAAGGGGATAGTGACAAAAAAGAATTAGTTTTGGAGCACTGTCAGGTATGTGCTATGTACTTTATTCTTCACAGAAAGTCATTCTGTCAGTACTAACAAAGGACCTACCTGTAACTAATTGAATCCCTAAATTCAAAAGGGAAAAGGCTTTTTAGTTCCTTTCATTAAACTCGTGTGTGTGTGTGTGTGTGTGTTCCTTTTTTTCAATTGGAATTGATATATTGAATGCTTATTACAATAGGGAGAAATTATCTTCTTTAAAACTTTTGTGATTATTGTTTAACTATTTAAGCTGTCATTTAAAAAAAAAGTTTAAAAGCTAATGTACTGTGATCAAATAAAATGGTTTAAAAATGTGTTTCTTATTTATAGGATTCTCAAATGGTAGTAGACTCCTTTAAGTCTGGCTTTGAACCTCCAGGAGACTTCCCGTTTGAAGACTACAGCCAGCATATTTACAGAACCATTTCAGATGGTACCATCAGTGCATCCAAACAGGAGGGTGGCAAGATGGATGCCAAGTCCACAGTAGGGAAGGCCAAGGGCAAACTGTGGCTCTTTGGGAAGAAGCCAAAGGTAAAAACCCAGAATCCCTATGTGCTGATCAGACTCTTACTTAGTCAGTAGTGAAGTAGAAAAGGACAGGTGGATAATAATTGCCACTGATTGAGGAATAATTTCATTCGGCTTGAATGACCCAATTAGTCTTTCATAATTAGAAAACAGTCTTGTACGTTCATATTGAGCTATTCACAATGTGGAAGAATTAACTGAGTCTTAAATTACATGTTTTTAAAATTCCTTTGCATATAGTTTCTGTCAGAATTCTAAGGCAATGTTTTACTATTACTACTTACTATTACTATTACAGCTGGAATGAATGATTAAACTAGCTGATAATAAATGTCAAGTTAGATGTAATGGAAATTCTTAGCTGGAATGAATGATTAAACTAGCTGATAATAAATGTCAAGTTAGATGTTATAGCTCATAGTACTATAACTTTTTATTATCCGTGTGCAATTTTTAATGAAAAGGGCTCAGTGTTCTTGATTAACTTCAGCTTCCCTAGTTACTAAGAGAATCTTAATCTTAACTTCTTGTCAAACCCCAGATTTTGATGTGCTGATAATTTTAGGAAGCTAAACATAGCTCAACACATGAGCAAATGGAGTAGATGAGTGCTTCATAATTCTGTCAGTTTAGTGATTATGCCGTATCAGTAAGGGAAGATGGAGTCAGTCCTTCAGTCTAATATGCTGTACTTTTTCAAGTACACTTACTTATTTATTTAATTTCATTGCTTTGATCCTGGCATATGAATGTACATAAAATTTAACTCAAATTACCTATCTGTTAAGTATCTTTAAAACACGTTTATAGGTAATGCAAGCTTTACCTATGCTTTTAATAAGACTGTCCAGTCAAGTTGAACAGTGAGATCTGCTTTGGTCACAGCAGAGAAACTAGAACAGCTTAGAGAGATACAAATGCCAACACTTATTTAAGAAGAGACAGCCTGAGAGGAGAGCTACAATATGATAGGAGACTTTTTTGCCTATTTATGGTAATTAGCAGTTTTAGGAGTATTTTGTGTGATAACTTTATCTCTTGACAGCTACAAGTTAAATATAACCCTTACAGGAATCCATTATGGTGCTAATATGCTAAAATCCAGAAAATTTTTTTAATTTAGATTTTACTGTTCTAACATAATTTGTATACTCTATATTTTTAATCTATTAGCTTGTTTTTAAAAAAGTGAAATCATATTGTTTAAAAGTAACTGACTTTTAAAAGATGGTTTTGGCAAAATTATGTTTACTCTCTATTTTCATAGAAAACTTTATTTGAAGTGTATTTTGTGAAAAATATGTTGCCAGAAATAGAATTTTCATTTAGGAAAAAAACTATTCACATTTGGCTTATTGATTCCTTTCTTTATTTCCATATTAGCCACAGTCCCCACCCTTAACCCCTACTAGTTTATTCACATCCAGTACTCCTAATGGGTCCCAGTTTCTCACATTCTCCATTGAGCCCGTGCATTATTGTATGAATGAAATAAAAACAGGGAAGCCCAGAATTCCTTCTTTCAGAAGCCTCAAAAGAGGGGTAAGTTTAATAATGGGTTGAAATGCATGATGGCCTAATTGTGTGTGTAGTGTGGCTTTTTCAATACTCTCCACCCTCATTATAAGGCTCTCTCCTATAAATACATAGTTTATAGTCACTGCAGAATTAAGTATAGCTGCCCTCAAGTAAAAAACAACTCCTCTTTATAACATTTGAAATGTTCAACCATAAAAATGGTATTATAAAGAGGGTGCTGGGTACAATCATATTTTAGCTTTTTTTTTTTGTTTATGTGAAATCATATGTCCACCATTGTCTTGTAACGTATTTACATCTTTAAGACTTTCAGTAATTTGTCACTGGAGATGCTCTTGTAATGATTTGTCACTAATGCGACTTCACTTGCCAATTTTACAAAGTCTTGTTTTGTTGACAGTAAAATGTCAAGCTTGATTTTAATAGTCCTACTTTTAGATGCATAAAATATAATTTCTAATACTTTAATTAAAAAAAAAAACTTAAAAGCCAATGTGGTGGTGGAACATACTTTTGTAATTCCAGCACCTGGAAGGCTGAGGCAGAGGGATAGAATTTGAGGTCAGTCTCTGTTACATATGGAGTTTAAAATCAGTCTTTGTTGTATAGAGAAATGGTATCTCCAAAAGGAAAAAAAAAGAAAAAAAGGAAAAAAGAAAGGAAGATAATAAGTATATTAAATATAAAGTGTTATACATCAGGTTAATATATTAGGTATTAAATTATAAAGCCTATAAAATATTTAAGTATTATTTAGTAATGTTCATATGGAATTTGTTTTCTTGAACAACAAAACCATTTCATTAAGAGTTTTCCTTTACTCTTTCTTTTAATTAACCAGCTTTAGATATCTACTATTCCTAAGAATACTCTACAAATGGAAATGTATAGACTAATAATACCCAAATGCAGTATTAATCTGTCTCTTAGCAATGACTGTTATACTACTAATAAAAAGTGTGATATTCTACTATTTTAGTAAGGCTAGTTTTTCTTTTTCTTGGTTTTGAATATTGAGCCTAAGTCTTTTTGTATATGAAGCACTTACTCTATCACTAAACTACCCTTTTAGCCCCTAATTTTTGTTTTTAGGTAGTGTTCTTAGTTATATAACTATAATTTAGGTTAATTTATAGGATTTTTGGCCATTTGAAAGTCATAGATGTGATACCATATATACCATCCGATTATTAACATTTTATTAGATAATGCAGTAATAGTGTGCTCTCTCCTTTCTGTAGTTTTCCCCAAAATTAAAGTGCATTTTAGCCACCTGATTAACAAAATATATTTGTTTAGGGCAAGATCACACTTTTTATCTATTAGACAATATAACAGGCTTCACTGATGGCAGTAATGCAGAAACTATCCCACTGTGTAGTTTTCCCCCTTCAACTCCCTTTTCCCCTCAACTTAGCTAACTGAATGTGGATAGTAGGGCAAGTTATGACCTTTAGGAAGGCCCCACAGTTTGTTTTTTATGGACAGGTGTCCTGGCTGTAGGTTTGGACCGCTTTTATGCTTGCTAGAGAGATTTTACATGGGATTTCTTTTGCTGTAGGATTCCTAAGTTGCTTCTCATGGATATATGAAGTCATTTTAATTATATGGAAAAAAGTTAAAGCAGTTAGAACGTAAGGCCTGGAGGAAACTCTTAAGTGTGAGTCATTCTTACTGAACAATTTGCAGCTAGAATCTTACAACTGCAGCACCTAAAAATTGTTAAACTGGCTCATTATTACTTTTATTTTCATGTGTTGCTTTAATTTAAAAAGTCATACAGTGTTTTTATAATTTTGGAAAACTGGAATCTCCACATCTTAGTTACCATAATAACCTAGAAAGCAGTGTGCAAGGTAGAAACTAGGACAGTTGAACCCAACTGGAGGATTAGAGGACAGCAGGGAGGAAAGGTTTGTCTTGGGATTGAGAAATTTTACATTTTGATTGGTCTTTGGACGTTTACTAGATAATATTTCAGAATACTAGCAATGGAGATGTTTTCTTTCTACTCAAGAATCCTGTGAGGAAAATAAACCTTAATAAACTGGCATATTAAATGGATATACATGGGTGGCAGTCCATTAAGTTTACAATATAGGTGTATATACTCACTTTTACAGAAAAACTGTTGTATGCAGTCTCATAATTAAGGATTTGAAAAGTGTTAGATCAGAACCTTGTTTTTGAGTTTGACAGTGGTACCACTGGATCTATTTTAAGGTATAAGGTTCTATAATTGCCTTCTGTGAGGTCAGGTTGTAAGTTTCAGTGAATGTTTGGGAAATACACCCAAATTTGACTGGTTAACACACTAATATTTTAAAACCCATAACTACTTTCTTTTGTTTTCATACACATCCCTTTTTAAAGTAGTAGAATTAATTAGCTTATAATAGGAGTTCATAGTTGTGTTTAATTATTCATAATCTTACAGAGTTTTAGAGATACTTTTAAGGATTTATATATTCAGAATATAGTTCCCAGGGCCTTAGCCTGTTTTAAGATGAAACACACCTAGTTATCTTCATTTCTTTACTTAATGTTAGTTCTCTTGTATTCTGCAGTATCTTAAGATGCAGTGATTATATGAAATTTTCTAATTTGTAAACTATTTCTATATGAAGCTCTGGTATTTTTGTATTGAACATGTGCTACTTTGAAACATAATTATGTTTCTACTATTTAGACAGAGAACTCTAATTTTCAGTGAACTACAAATTGACTTTCTACTTGTTAGTAAAACTAGATAAGCTAAAATAGAAACATTTGCTACTTCAGCTATAATTATCCCATTTTCTCTAAAAAATTAAAATATAAATTAGGAAAGTATATCACTCAGTAGTGAAAATTAGTATAAAAGATAAGGCAACTCATTTGACTATTTTATTCCTTGTCATATACAATATTGTTAGTGTTTAAAGAATACTGTGAATATCTTCCTTAATTTAAACCTTTTTATTTTCATCACTGAATTTTGTGATAGCAAAATAATTTGATTTTTTTCTTCGTTAAACTACTGACAGTCTAAAGAATGTTAAGCTTAGTTTAGAAAGACAATGGATAGCAAATGTCATCTCTTTGTCATAATCATTAATACATATGGCCAATTCATCAGAGATAAGGGGTAGATATTTTTGCTAGATATTAAATTTCTTTCAATTTTTATATGAAATTTTATCTGAGATCTATTTTACCTTTCCTTAAAAATATATGATTTAAAAAACAGAGAAAATGGCATTTTTTATGAGGGGTACTGGGGAATTGAACTCAGCCTTGCACATGTAAGGCAAATAGTCTGCCACTGACATGTGTCTCCAGGTCCCCAAAATGAAGACATTTTCAGATTAGCTCAATGTGATGACTTGTAAAACATGATGCATATTCTAGGCCACTGTGTGTGTGCGCGCGCTTGTGTGTGTGTACTCATGTGTGATACATTTTTGTGTCATTGCAGAATCCTATTGTAAAAATGATTTATGATATTTTGATTTTATAAGAGCACCTGTAGTTGATCTCTTTAGGCTGTTTATATCTTCTGAAAGGATAAATCTTTGAGTTTGCTAAAATCAAAGTTAGGAATTTAGTGCTGTTTTTCAGGCACATGGATTTCAGAATGAAACCTTAAAAATAGAAAATTTATTTTCAAAGCAAAACCTAATCTATATATTTGTGTCTAATAAGTATGTAGAAAGAATTTGGTGCAGGGTAAATCGTTTGTTATTTTTCTTTTAAATAGCACCTTAAGAATGTTTCCTTTGGCCGGGCATTGGTGGCACACGCCTTTAATCCCAGCACTCGGGAGGCAGAGGCAGGCGAATCTCTGTGAGTTCGAGACCAGCCTGGTCTACAAGAGCTAGTTCCAGGACAGCCTCTAAAGCCACAGAGAAACCCTGTCTCGAAAAACCAAAAGGATTGTTACCTTTGCCAAATTTTGATATATTTAAATCCCAAATAGTGTTTTGAAGTATGAAACAAAAAGGTGACTCTTTCCTTAGTGCTTTGGCAAGGACATTCTGGTTTTTAAACTTTTTGTAGATTTTCTTTGAAATGGCTAACATTAGATCTTTTTGACACAACACATTTCAACTATCAGTGCTTCTGAAAATGAATGATATGAGTTAATACCTTCATAAAATTCTCTTTAAAGGAGAATATATGATTACTAGAAGGATGATTTACTTTTCAGTTTTAGTTAAATTTAGAAAATATCTGCCCATTATCAGTGTGTGCTTTCCTTTCTTTTTTCTTTTTTTGTGCAAGTAATTTGCTTTCCCAAATGTGCTTAAAACTTTTTTTTTTTTGGCAGAATTGTTTGGATTGTAAAGTGTACATAATTTATTTTAATACTGTAAAAATATAGGCTATTGCATCTTCTGTATTATGATTTCATGTGAATAATTTACCATTTCTTTCTGTTTTCCATTGAACTATTCAGTGGTCGGTGAAGATGGTAAGCCCTGTGTGCTGATCTATATACTGTGCCAACATTAAATAATCTCAAAACATTGTTTTATTTAATTCAGAACAAGTGTTAAGTACATCCCACATTTTCAACTTGTATGGTTTTTCTTTTTATAGTTTAATCCATAGTCCATCATACTCACCTTTTGGGTGTCATAGATTAGACAATGATGTGGTTAACTGTCACAACTCATCAAATTCTTAAGTGTTATTGGATAGAGTCCATGTCATGTTAAAGAGAATTTAAATTATTTAATAAAAAAATTTAAAGTTACATGGTAGAGCAAAAGCTTATGTTGTACAGAAGTAAAATTCAGAAAAAGTTTTTCTCTTTAAATTGACTTTTTAAAAAAGTCATACTAGTTTAATGTTTACCACAAGAATTATTAGGTTTGTTTAAAAAAGAAAAATGTTTTGTTAATTTCATTATGGATTCAGTGCTTTGTTCAGAAGCACAGGTAATCTGTTTCGTGTGAGAGTGTGTGTGTGTGTGTGTGTGTGTGTGTTTGTCCCCATCCCTCAATGTTTGAGGTGTCCCTATATACATTTATTCACACAAATTGATGAATTTATATTACGAACTAACTTCCAAATTATCGGGCACTTGCATAGAAAACTTTGTACACAGATTTAGAAAGCAGATTACTGTTTTAGACATTTGTAGTTGAGACTTGTATAAGTTCCTTGATAGTAAGAGAGGTCGTTAAATGCCTTACATGCATTTTTAGGGATAGACCGATATTTGGAAATGGATAATGGCCAATTTATTATACTCCCAAAAGTCTATTACACTGAAATATATTTCCATTAAATAACTTTTCAGAAACATTTTTCAAAACATAAATTAGAAGGTTATCTTTGCATTATTACATGATAGTAATCCCTGGACCCCAAATTAGAATGAATCTAACAAATTATACTGATCATTAACTAGTAAATTTAAAGAAACTTTATATCGGAAATTTTGATATTCCATTATATAGTGTAGATTTTAACTGATTGACATTGCCAGTATATTTTCCTGACTCAAAAGCCACTTAAACAGGGGCCCCACTTTTAGTCATCATGCTTGTTGAATGCCCATAGTGATAGGCCACTGAGGAAAGATTTTCAGAGGTTCTTGTTATTGGTTAACTGTAACATTTGATTATGGCTTTTCCTGTAAGTTTCCTTTTGTAGTGCCTGTAATGATAACAGGCATGGAGAGGTGGCTTAGTGATTAAGAGCTGCTCTTACAGAAGACCCAGGTTGTATTCGTAGCACTCACATGGTAACTCACAACTGTCTGGAACTCCAGTTCCAGAGGATTTGATGCCCTCTTCTGGTCTCTGCAGGAGTGAGGTCTATGTAAAAACATTGATGTGGGCAAACACCCATATATGTAAAATAATAAAATAATTTAAAGGTAAATAAAGTGTCCTTGTACATAGTGTAATCAAGCTGTTAAGCATATGTTAAAGGTATTAGTAGCTCAGAGAGCAAGAATGCATTTTATTTTGTAAGGGTATCCCAGCAGCACTTTAAAAATTGAACAGTATTCATGTTCAACCACTTTGAGAAGAAAAATGAAAAGCAGGTATTAGTTTTTGGATTCAGTAGTTAATGGTGGTTCTGTTATAATCTCAAAAACTGTAGCTGAAGTACCAGTGACTAAAATTAACATTTAAGAGGAAAGTCAAAGCAAGCCTGGTGACACACTCTTGTAACACCCACACCAGGAACTAAGAAGACAGGAGGTGAACCAAGCGTGGTGACACACTCTTGTAACACCCACACCAGGAACTAAGAAGACAGGAGGCCTTGGAATTCTGGGCTGGGCTACACAGTGAGGCATAGTCTTCAGGAAAAAGACATCATTAATAGAAAAATCTACACCTATATACTAGCACTTTATTTACAGAGATTCAGAAGCATTGAAACCTTTTTAACCAAGAAACCTTCCTTAAAGGACTGTGTCAAGGCTGGGCATGGTGTCACATGCTCATAATGGTTACACTTGAGACATTGAAGCAGGAGCATTTGAGTTCAATTTACAGACTATAGTTAAAGAGTCTGCTGTCATCCAGGTGGTGGTGGTGCACGCCTTTAATCTCAGCACTCCGTAGGCAGAGGCAGTCGAATCTCTGTGAGTTTGAGGCCAGCCTGGTCTACAGAGTGAGTTCCAGGACAGCCAGGGCTGTCTCAACCAAATAGAGAGAGAGGACAGTGGGATTATACCTTTTAGAAACAGCTGAGATATGACATTCAGTTTTACAGAACGGAGCTTGGAAGTGTATTCCATGTTATGAATATAATTTCCACTTAGTAGACTGTACCTTTAATTTTTAATGATCAGATATTATTTCCATAGAATGGTCTAATAAATGTAATCATTCAAAACTATCTGCAGTATTGAAATATGCTTCTTAAATCAGTCATCTTTATGCGGTAAGTTGCTTATCTTGCTAGGTTATAAATTTTATATTTTTATTCAGCACATTCATGGTATTCAGAATGTCACGACAGTGGATTTTATTCCATAAGATTCTATGTAAGAGTACATACACAGTAATAAGATAATATAAATGAAAAATGTTATGTGTTCTCATTCTGTTGTTGCTGTAAGAAGACTCGTGTGTTTATTTTGATTCTGCCAAGACTTGAAATGGTGTGGTGATACAGTTATTATTCACTTGTATTTGATGAGGTTTCTGTTTTTCTTTCTGCCTATTTTCATGTTTTTGTAAGTATTGAAATGTAAGATCTTTTATTTTTACTAATACATCTAAGTAGATTTTTTTAAAGATTGAGGCTAACTAAAAATTGTATTCTTATTTTATAAAAAGATAGTTAAAAAATAAAATGTCTAAAAGTATGTTTAGTACTGACTTAGACTCTCTTTTCAGGGTCCAGCACTAGAAGACTTCAGTCATTTGCCACCAGAGCAGAGGCGTAAGAAGTTACAGCAACGCATCGATGAGCTTAACCGAGGGCTGCAGAAAGAGTCAGACCAAAAGTAGTGTTCCGTTAAGTCCCTCGTTGCTTTTCCTTTCAGGGTCTAATGTGAATAATGTGTATACACGATAAATAGAAGATTTCAAAACCATTCATTCTGGGCTGAGGCTATAGTTCAGGAGGACCTGAGTTCAATCCGTATCACAACCCCGTGCCCTAAATCATATATCCTAATTGAAATGCTTTTACAAACTTTTTTTAAAAAGATTTATATATTTTTATTTCATATGTTTTAGTGTTTTATCTGCATGTATGTCTATGCACCACTTGCATGCCTGTGAGCCTCCATGTGGATGCTGGGGATAGAACTTGGGTCCTCTGGAAGAGCAGTCCGTGATCTTAAAGCCCCCCCCCCTTTTTTTTTTCAAATGGAAAAATGTACTACTTAAACAAGAAAGCATTTATGACTTATATATTATTTAGGCAAAAGCAAATGTCAGATATTTTTTATTGCAGATTTTTATTAGTTGCTGTTGAGTTCCTCCCACAAATTTATAAAATCAAAACAGAAACCCAAAACATGGTAATTCATTGTCAAGAGTAGTTTTGTCAGCACTACCTCTTATATTTTGTATTTTTTTTTAAATTATAAATTGAGCTCAGTTGATTGAAGGATTATATACAAGACTTATCAAACATTTTACATGGAGCATATCGCTAAATCCTTCAAAATAGCTATCTGAGGTTGTTCTTACTATGTAAATGGAGAGGTGGAACTTAGTTAGAAATTAGATAAACTATAGTAATAAAGCAAGGGGAAAGTATATGATGGGCTAGGAAAAGTCTTAACTACTGTCTTGTAGCATTCTGTTGATAATGAGGTGCGGTCTCCAGAAGTTTTGAGTGGGTGCTAGGACATTGGCAACTGTCCTAAAGGTCATTGAACCTTATATAATGAGTAGATCAGAGATTAGGAGAGGAGACAAGGAGACTTGTTAGGAAACTAACTTGTAGATGCTGAGAGACCTATAAAATTAATTGAAAAAACAAGAAAAATAAATTTTGAGTTGAAAGTAATGGTTTTGCTTATGTTTTGTGAAAAATCCACACAGAAAGTGACTGTGGAAATAGATGTCTAGAACTTAAGAAAAACTGGAGACAGACACTGGAGAATAATCTGAAGATCAGAACATTCTAAAGAGGAGTGTAGGATGAGATGAAAAGAGACTTGTCATTTTATGTAACAGACATTTAAAAGTTGAACAAAAGGAGAAGAAGCCAATGAATGATTGTTAAGAAAGCAGAGGCGAGGAGGAGAAATGGAAAATATAACCCTCAGGTCAAGAAGGAAAGCCTATTAAGGAGAGTCAGCAGTGTCATGTGCTAGTGTCAGGCAGCACTGATTGGGCACAGTCTAGGGTCATGTGACTAGAGGAGGTAGGCAAACAGCCCAAGGGGGGCACAGTTAAAGAGGGCATTGCTATTTCTAGCAGAGATGAGTGGGAGGACAGTGACGCTGTGGGAAATGAGATAAGGAATGCTGGTGGGATAATGATGCTTGGTACAAACGTAATGCGTTTGATTTAGAGCCAGGCATGGTGTCACACATCTGTAATCTTAGCACGTGGGAAGACCAAGAGTTTTAAGGCCAACCTGGGCCACCTAGTGAGGCACTGTTTCAAAGTAAAGCAAAGTAATGATTTGGGAAACAATGAGTTCAAAAACAATGCAGAATACTCTACCAGCAGTTTATTAAGCCCATGTCCTTTAAATGTAAACACTCAGGCACATGCATGATTTTAAAAAGTCTTCTTAAATTATTGACTGTATATACATTGTCACATAGTACATACATACATATGTACATACACGATCAACCTTATGTGAATTGTCTTATTAGGGTACGTTTGTCTGAACTTAGAAATGTAACTTTTTAAGGTTGAGATAAACTTTAGTCCCCAATGAAACTCAAAATGAAAATCTAAGTGGATGTTTTGTGGTTTCCTTTTGTTTCTCAGAGAAGCACTCAACAAAATGAAGGATGTGTATGAGAAAAATCCACAAATGGGGGACCCGGGGAGTTTGCAGCCTAAATTAGCAGAGACCATGAATAACATTGACCGCTTACGAATGGAAATCCACAAGAATGAGGTACAGTTGTTAACTCAGCAGTCTGAGATAAAAGTACATTTTTAAATATTTTATAAGCTTTATTGTGATAGATTGGATTTTGCCAGAGTTATATACCAATACTGATGTTTAATTTTAGAACTTATGAACTGAAAGTATCATTATGGCATAAAATTATCAAATTAACAACATACTGTTTTTTGTTTTTTGTTTTTTTAATCAACTATGAGATTAATCACTGTCTACATTGGAATGAAATTTTTCTAAAAATCAAAGTTTCAAAGTACATTTAAATTTAGGGTGCCTTAGGAGTTTCAGACTTACTGGACTGTCATTTTTTGTCTTTTTCCCCCCCTGAAGGCATGGCTCTCTGAAGTTGAAGGCAAAACAGGTGGTAGAGGAGACAGAAGACATAGTAGTGACATAAATCATCTTGTGACACAGGGGAGAGAAAGGTCAGGGTTTGTTTCGTTTTTATTTTTAATATTTCATTATTCAGTTAATTTTCATCCATTATAAGTTTGGCATTAAATAACTTCAGTCTTTTGAAACTATTTTGTACCTTAGGTAATTGTTGTAGGTTAAGTTGGAAATTTTCATCTTGTTCAATTCTAGTTTATTACATCCCTGAGCATCTAAGAATAAGAATAATAATAACAAAAACTAGTAGGCCTAGGAACCTCAGGGATACGAGAGATTCCCTTAAGGTTTTTTTTTGGATTTGTTAGCTTATGATGGGGGGAAAAGGATGCTGTCAAATTTCTTCCAGTTTGCTGAAGAAGAAAAGGAGCTATATCTTAGTTTGGACAGTTTTCAACTTGGCTTTTGCTCTGTACTGCTCATGATATGTCTTCTATAGTATAATGTGTTTTGTTTTGTTTTTCCTATCATTTAAAAAAATCTTCTTTGAAAAAATTTGAGGCTTAATATCAGATATTGATTTACTAATTACAACATAATTCAAGCAATTTCATTTTTTATATTTCCTTAACCTCGGTTTTCTAAAAACCCACTGTACAGAGTTGTTGTTGACAAAGAAATGGTTTAAGGCAGCTATTAGTGAGATACCTAATCATAGTGTGCATTTCACAATGTGAGTGCCTCCTGTCCAGCTCCTGTCACTTCAGGAAAGAGTTCTTAAGTTGTCAAGAAAGATCGACAGTTATTAGGTTAAAAACCCAGGTTAAATGGGTTTAGGTTTTTTTTAGTATATGTGATTTTAAAATGTGGTTTTCTAACTTACCTAGGTGTGCTGCTAAATCCACTGGGCATTGTGCATGTGCGTGTATTCTATCCATTCTTTTGGATTTTCTAAGTTAATAATTGATTGGAAATTATTTTATTTGAATCTGGAGTCATTTGTTTTTAAGTAGCAGAATGAATTCTTGTACTGTCTTGGAGAAAAATGGGCTTCGTTGAACAATTTAAGGAACAGCCTAGACAATATTCTTAGGACTCAGTTTGTTTTCTACCTCTTGGCTGTCCCTCTTCCTGTACTGAGTTTGTTTCGAGGCTCCATCTGATTTTTTTTTTAAAGCTTGCAGTTTTCCTCCAGGTTGAAAGAGAAAAGGAAGTGAGCTTCTCTTGGTGCAGTCCGGGCAGAGCACTTGTGCCTGATGATGTGCAGGAGCACTGGTGACCTGCTTGCCTCTATGCATGTGCTCTGTTCATGGCTTCTCCTGAGCTGGGCCACAAACAGCCTCGCTGTGGACTGAACATAGGCCTGGGTGCTTCTGCTAAGGAATATCTCTGATACTAGAAAACTAGTGTCTACCTCATTGTTCCATCTCATCTTTAGATCCTGTAATAGCGTTTACTGAGCATTGCTTCCGAACATCGTAATCCTTTAATTGTTTACATCAGGAAATTAAGTGAAGAATCATTTTATATTACTACAAGCAATTTACATAGTTAATGTTTGAACATAGAGCTCAATATGGAAGTATGCCATTGATACCTAATTTCTCCTGAGACCAACTTATAAATAATACACAAAGAGTTCTCATGTTTGTGATGCTTGATCAGAGATACTTTCATGGTTTTTAGTCCTGAGGGAAGTTACACCGACGATGCAAACCAGGAAGTCCGTGGGCCACCACAACAACATGGCCACCACAGTGAATTTGATGATGAATTTGAAGACGATGATCCCTTGCCTGCTATTGGACACTGCAAAGCTATCTACCCTTTTGATGGTATGGTGTTCTTAATATATATTTAATGAAATTGGTTCCTCAAAGTCAAAATATGTCATTTATTTTATTATGCTTAGCTAAATGATACATTATCAAAAAATTACATTCCTGGTTCATTAATTGCATAGTTTTATTTTAACTATGAAATAAATATAGTATTACCCCTACCTCTGCACACGCAACTGATGTATGTATGAGTTCATTAATTGCATAGTTTTAACTATGAAATAAATATAGTATTACCCCTACCTCTGCACACGCAACTGATGTATGTATGATCATGTATTATGCCAGATGATCAGCTATCAACTCTAGGTCATAGAGAATTTTCCCCAAATCCTAGATCTTACACTTACATGTGGTCAAAAAAGATGAAGCAGTTTGAACATGGAAGTAAATGGCTCTTCATTGACACTTCATTGCAGCTAAATGATATCAAGAGCCAGGCATTTGGCATGGCTGAATGCTATCATTGTATCCTGATTCTACAGGCTTCCCCTTCAGATGACAGTAGGAAAAAAAAAAAGTGGTAGCTTCTGACTGTCTTGTCTTCTGTGAAGGCTGGAGAACAGGCTTTGGGAGGTGGAGTGTTGTGGCCCTCTCTGCAGACTCTTAAACAGTCCTCTTCTTCAACTAATAGAAGAGCAAAATATCATCTTCATGAGCAATTATGAAATGCTTTATAATTTAACACCTTACTCTTTGTTTTTATAAAATACATTTAAAGGGAAAGGGAGATCTCCTGGTGGGTAAAGGCACTTGTCACCAAGCCTGAGGAACTAAGTTTTTCCCTGGGGACCCACATGGTAGAAGAAAACTGATGCCTGAAGTTGTCCTCTGACCTCCACACTTATCCCATAGCGCATTCTTACTCATGCGCACATATGCGCGCGCTCACACACACACACACACACACACACACACACACACACACACACACACAATAGTTTTTTGTGGTATACATATATGTATGTTTGCACATATGTGGATACGTATGTGTACATGGGTGCTTGTACTTGTGGAGGTCTGAGACTGGTGTTAGGAGTCATCCTTAATGTTCTTCCACTTTATTCAAGAGTTTTTCAGGGGAACCTAGAGCTCATTGATATGGCTGATCTGGCTAGCGAGCTTTCTCTGAGGAGCCCCTCTGTATATATTCTTTCTTTTACTCCCTATTATTTTCCTGATCCATACTTCATGAAGCTTTTAAATTGGCACTGCTTAAATTTGGGGGAAGAGTTAGAATTGTGAAATAATGATTAGACTGTCCTACCAAATTACATAGTACTGTGGCACAGTTACTGAATCTATTACACAGCAGGTGATTGTAACCAGCCTCATGGGCTTATTATATAGTTCAGATGGGAATGTGTATAATTATGTTGAGTAAACTAGAAAATATTACAAGAAGGATGCTGCTTGTGACAGTGGGTTCTTGCATCTAGGTACAATGAAATTTAGTAGTAGTTCATATTAGTATGTTTGTATTTGAAACTTATTGAGAATTATTGCAGGGCTTTAATTCTGTTTGTACTTTGAAAACTTTTCATCTAGGGCATAATGAAGGTACTCTGGCAATGAAAGAAGGTGAAGTTCTGTACATTATTGAGGAGGACAAAGGTGATGGATGGACAAGAGCCCGGAGACAGAATGGCGAAGAAGGCTACGTTCCCACGACATACATAGATGTAACTCTAGAGAAAAACAGTAAAGGTGCAGTAACTTATATCTAAACTAACCAGGCATCTTTGTGCCATGTACAACATAAAGTGACAACACATTCCACAGGTCAGAAAAACCAAAAAGTCAAGGGCATCCTGATCTATTGTTCACTATGTGAGCTGAGTGCAGGCCTGATCAGAGAGATGAGAATATTGCCACAAGAAACTCTCTTTGACGCCTTCCTGTTGAAGTGATGTTGGTGTGGAAGCTTAATTGATGCCTTTTGCTTTCTGTCCTGCCTAAGTGTGTGTAAAGGATGTGTGCTTTTTCTGCCTTATAAATAATAGATTGGATTATTAGGCAAGAATCGTAGGTAGAATGTCCCCTGACCCCTTCACTTGAGAAACAATAGTGACTGTTGAATTGAAATAGACAAACTTGCTCTGAACTGCAGAGAGCTGATTCCTAGGAGCACCCCAACCTAGGACCTTAAATTTATAGCGTCAGGTTCTAGGAAGAAAAGTAATACTTGGATAATTGGGTAAATAACAGTCATTGTCCTTGCTATTCTTAACTTGGTTTCCTAAAAAAAGAAAGTGAATATCTGGTATATAGTCTATTTAATTTGAGCTCATCACAGCATCACAGGATAAATCACCTGGTGGAGCTTGTATGCAAATAAAACAGCTTTGAGACCTGAAAATATTTTCAGGTTTACTGGTAATTTTCAATGATGTACAAAGTTCATTCCAAGTTAATCTTAAACTTGTACTTTTCACTTGAAAATGTCTTTTAGGAAAATTACATTAGTGCTTATTTAGCATTTGGCAGTTACTTGTAGGAGAAATTGAACCTAATTCAATGAAGATAGAGGGCAGTCTGGAATGGAGGAAAGTGCTGGCAATGTTTACTCTTACAGGAGAAACAATTTTTTTTCTACTAAGATGAAAGAAGACCTCTGTACCACCATTGAGGGCTTCATTTTAGTGGGATCGTCGACTGTCAGAGTAGATTCCATTTTTCCAATGTTTTGCCACAAGCATCTGTTGGAATCATTGTCCAATAAAGATGTAGAGTGTAGTTGTTATGTGGCCACACCCTAGTTCATTGAGTGGGAAGTAGAGGGAGGAAGCAGTAACACTGGCCTTTGCTTATCTTATGTTTCAAAGTTGACTGGTGTTTTTAGTAGCTGACTATGAAACACTTTTAGGAACATTTGGGACGGACACTTTAAACTGAATGCCCCTTTTGGTCTTACCAAAGGTCTTCAGTAATTGTTTTTTTCTTTTTCCTCCTGGACTGCAGGTTCCTGAAGAGGGTTTCTGAGGAAATGGGCAAGATGTTGAAGGAGGTTACATGCAGCTGCTTTTGGGGGGAGGGTATTAGAGTTGTCAGGCTCAAAGAGAAAGTGAGAGAAGCGAGTTGCATGACTGCATGCAGATTTTTTTTTACTAACTTCATTAGCATTTCCATACATTAAAAAAAAATCATTATAGAACCAGTCCTTAAATTCCTAGTTCACAGTTCACATGGAAGAAGGGGGAAAAGCCAGCAATGGCTGACCTCTTTTTTCACTTATTTTGCTGAACCAAATCAGAAAGAATTCAGAGCTGTCTTAAACTTTGTCTTACTTTGAGCTGTCCCAATAGGACTGTCTTCATCCAGCTCTGTTTTAATTGGCTTTTAGACCCGTCGTCTGTTAGAACCCTTGCCATATGTCAGTGTCTGCCTGCACCACCTCCGTGCTTGCTTAACATCCTGTTGCATGTCTAGAGTGATCTGGGCTTAGATTTTTCAGGCATGTCTTTGTAATCCCCTGTTCTTGTCAAAGCCTCTGTTTCACTTTGCATTTGTAGTGCAAATCACTTTGTCAAACATCTCAGCACTAATGTTTCCATCTTAGTATTTGTGTATGCTGCTAAAACTTCCCCACTGCAAACATTCCAGTTTTGGCATTATGAAGACATAACCTGAAGTATTTATGATAAGAAAAAGAAAACATCTCTGCTCTAGCCTACAGCCCAGTTAAAGAACTCTGTGAAATGTGACATACCTTCAGCACCTCAGTCTGGGAAGATTCTAGTCAGCACTGAAGTCCTGGCATAATAAACACAGAGGATACGCACCACCGAAAGGACTGTTGTCAAAAGTCAGCTGCTTCCATTCAATGCTGCCTTAAACTTGAGTGCCTAAATCTGTTGATTGCCAACACTACCACTTCAGTATCCCACAAAGGGCTTTATGTGCCAGCTCAGTGCTCCTCCTCTAATTCTGCGGCACCGCCGCAGCTGCGATGTAGCCTCGGTAGGTGGCTTCTAGAGCTCTACCATGTGCAGTGGTGCATCTTCAAATTTATGCATCAAACTAAAGACCTGTCCGAGTCCATTTTACTTTCATCAGTATACTCATGAGAAGTTGGATGGACCTTCCCCTATTGTCTTTTAACGGGGTGATGACGATCTCATTTGATTATTACAATGATAGTCTGTTTCCAAGTGATGCTTTTGTTTGAACCAGATAAAATTTAGTGAAACTTTGTAATGATCTATGTGCACTTTTACTTGTAAAATGGAAATTTCTGTATGTTTATACTTGTAAATATAATTGTCGTTAGTGCTCTCGTGGCTCATGTTGTCCTGCCTCACATTTGTGATTCTGTTAATGACTTGTATCTGAACTAATTTCTTAGTGGTCTTGTAACGTGGGTGGGTGGGGTGGGAGGGTTATTTGTACCACTGAAGTTCCATTAATTTGGTTCTTTACTGTTTTGAGGGGAGAAAGAGAATGTGAAATGTTAAGTGTATTATTGGATTTCAAGCAATATTTTAGAAACTGTCTGACTGCTTTAATAATTTTTCCCAGTGCTATTTGAATCATACTACCAGTTATACTAAAGCTGAATGACAATTGTGTGAACATTAATGCCTTCATAAGATCAAGTACACCACTGTTATGCAGCTGACATAGTGTATCACCTTTGAGGCTAGTAAACTATATAGTTTTAGATATTAAATCTCGTTACAGGGTTATTTATAGAATGTGATATTATTCTATACTGACAGACTACATGAAGTAGTTTTAAAAAGTAGTGCTATTTTTGTTTCAGAAGTTAGCAATGAGAGGGAAATGTAAATGGCTGTGTTTGTCTTCTATACAAAGCCTGAAGGGCTTATGTTTTTTTTGACTAACAATCACAGAGGGCAAAGTTCAAAGCTTTCTTGGAAAGACTTCTTTTCAAGCTACCATGTGTTTTTTCTAAAGCTTGGATTTGCTTCCATAGGAGGCAAGTTCCTTTGTGTGGAGTAGTACAACCTTTGTATGGGTTATAGCATTTGAAAAAGACACTTGTACTTGCACAGTTTAAGTCATTCTTAAATCATTCTTAAACTTTGAACATGTGAACTGTCTAAAAGAAATCTCTTAATTTTCACTCTTTGTGCATATATTGATTTCTTAATGGTAAAATGCCTTGTTTATGATAGTGTTCTCTGTTGAGAATATTTTCATGGAATAAAACAATCTTTTCATGTTCAGTTAAGTTGTGTACTTATCTTTTTACTGTTTGAACCAAAGAGATGTGATATTTCTGTTAAGTGTGGTAGAGTTCAGGTAACTCAGAGTGTGCACCTAGTTCCTAAAGTGGGACAGTCTTTGGGAGAAGCATTTTTTGTCATTTCATTCTAGCTTTTAGTTTCTCCCAAGCTTTGCTAAAAGAAAGAATAGATGTTTAATCAGAGTGAATTTAAGTCAGGTGCAATAATCTGAGTTTATTTTTATTCAGCGGTAGCCATGTGGCACAGACTCCCCTTGTCCCCATCTTCTCCCTGCATCTGTAAGAGCTGTGCCTGAACCACATGGTCTGATCTGGCCACTGCACATGGGCCAGCATTTCCTTCCTGACTAGTTGCACAGCATCCATGCTTCCTGGGAAAAGAAAATGCATGGAAAGAGAACATTGCTGCTAGTAGTGACACAGTAGTAACTTTCAGCAGTATTGTTTCAGAAGAGTCACTTCTTAAAAAGGCAAGTAAGTACTCAACCATTACTTTAGGTCTTCAGAAGCCCCAAGGGAATAAAGTTTCAGGAGAGATTCTGAGTGAGAGGCTGGAATTTTTAAGATGAGGAAAATTGAAAGATAAGGTCTGAGTTTGGAGTAGATACATACAAAAAAAATGAAAACAGCAGCAAAATACTTCAAATATTACAGCTTCAGAAGTTTTTTTGTTTGTTTTAAGGGTGCGGGGGTGTCCAAGAAAATAAAGGTTTCTAACTATCTGGAAGGAAAAGGAGCCCAGTCCTTGTTAGAAGGATGGCACTGTATTAGGGTTCTCTAGAGGAACAGAACTGATGGGATGCGTCTATAATACTGACAAAATGTGATTCAGTAGAGTGGCGTTATAGGCTGTGGTCTGGCTAGTCCAACAATGGGCAGCTCAGTGGAGAGGCCAAGAATGCAAGTCTTGCAGTGGATGTCTCTCTCAGCAGGTCTTTTGTCTCTGTGGGGATACTGAAGTGGTAGGCTCTAACACCATTAAAGGAATGCCTCAGCAGCAGGAGAGCAACTTGCCAGTGAGAGTGAGGGCAAGCAGGCAAAAAGCAAAAGCTGCTTCTGTGTCCTTTATGTGGGCTGCCACCAGGTGCAGTCCAGATTTTGGTTGGGCCTTCCAACCCCAAATTATCCAGAGTTTTAGGGTGAGTCTTCCCAGATCAAATGATCCAGTCAAGAAAATCCTTCATTGCTGGGCCCAGCTGCTTGTATTTTAGTGACTCCAGATGTAGTCAAGTTGACAGTCATTGTCTGAAGCTATAGAGAACATAGGGAATAGAAAGACACCAAGAGATTGGGAAATGGGCAAATGTGAATTTTAGAGAATAACTTCTGGAACTTTTGAGAACAACCCTTAAAGGTACTGCATGATATCACCCGTTCAGGAGAAATTTAATAGGAAACTGACTTAAGTTCTTAAGAAACTAAAGCCTCATTGTCTGGTACAGATGAGGTCTAAAACACATACTGCCTTGATTTTCAGCACCAGTGTGACAAGATTTGTCATTTTTGTGAGATGGTACAGAGAACGGGAGCTTTTTAACAAGCTGCTTTGGTAACCCAGAATGTCAACACTGAGGAGAGTTTCTAAGGAAAATGTGTCTGTGTGGGTTGTGAGCCACACTGAATAGTGGAGGAGAAGCACCATCGCTACCTCTTCCGTGAAGAACCATGGTCTTGAATTTGAGTTTTCTGAAATGGTTCCTCTTTTTGTTTTTTTCTTCTGGTACCTGGACCTGGATTCTGTAGAGGGCTCTGTGAGCAGAGCCAGTGTTCATGTTGTGTGCTTTCATGCGTAGCTGCAGTGAGTGCTGCATGTTGAAATACTCCATCCTACTCAGTGGAAGGAATAACTCAGAAAAGTCATAAAGTGAAGCCTGTGAGTCCCAGCTCCTGTGGTTCAGTCCTGGAAGTATAGCCGGCAGCACATGTTACTGAGCGCTTCAGGTGTGAACACTGGACACAAAGCTAAAATTTACTGTGGTCTTCTGTTACTTCACATGTTGACTACACTGGTAACATAAACCTGTGGATGGGAGGAACCCTACTCTGTTCACCCCACAGGGAAATTCCTGTCCTGCTCAAGGGCCAAAAGGCTGGATATCAGCTTGGATTGCAGTAATGCCTCCTTAGGATGGTCTTAAATTTTTTGCCTTACTTGGTAACTTAATCTGTGCAGTGGAGGGAGGACCCACCTTGTGCATTTCAGGTATGTGGAAAGGGACTGTTGTCTACTTGGAAAAGTGCTTTTTGGATGATGCAGCACAGCTGCCATGCTCTCCTCTGCTTTGTTGGACTCAAGAATATTCTATGTGTCTCCCTCTGCTGACCTGCTGAGAAGACCAAGTTGCCGTGACTCAGAACTGATTTGCCCAATGTGTTTGTCTTCAGCCTTCTTTCCCGCTGGCATTTGTCCTGCATCACAGCAGCTGTTTGACAGCTCGATGGCTTCCTGGTTGTCTGGTGTAAAAATGCATTGTGTGTGAAATGAGACAGGACTCAAGCAGATGAGTAGTCTCCATCTCCCCACCCTCTCTCCACTTTGCTGTGTTCTGGCCAGAGTCAGCACTGAGGTGGTATATGCTATCTGGAGGAATTACTGCATGACTCCTCTCAGCTGCCAGACAGCGCATTAGTAAATTCAGTTCAGAGAGGAAGTCACTGGAAAAATGCCCTTCCCTATATGGAGTCACAGGAGGCCATTCCTTGTGCTGACTGTTGAAAACTGGAGTCCACTACCCATTAGAGAAACAAAGGATCTGAACATTACTGGCAACTTGGAGTACTTTTATCTTGATACTTTTATTATGTAGTTTATTGGAAAAGTAAAAGAACTCGTTTTATGTGGTTTGTACATGGTTTTATATACTTGTGTATTATGGTTATAATGTATTAATATCTCACTTGTTACATACTTTTCAGTATTCCTATGCCTTAAGATTGATTTTCACCCAAGGTTCTTTGTGAGATTATCTACAGACATGCATAGTTCATTTTACCATGTATAATACACTATTATATAAATACACAATGTACCCATCATTTTGCTGGACATTTTTCTATTTCCTGAACTTTAAACAGTGTTGCTTGAGAATATCCATGTTCGTATTTACCGACACAGGAGTTTCTCTGAAATATACACCTAGAAGTGGAATTCCTAATTTATATGTTTGTGGGGGTTTGAGTGAGAATGGTCTCCATAGACTCATGTATTTGAATGCTTGGTGCCTAGTTGGTGGACTCTTAAGGAAGTATTGGAGATGTGGTACTGCAGATGGGCTTTGAAGTTTTCAAAAGTCCACTCCAGGCCCAGTCTCTCTCTCTGCCTACAATTTATGGATTGGATGTGAGCTCTTGGCTACTTCTAGCATTATTCCTCTTGCCTGCCACCATGATGCCTCAGGCTATGGTGGTCATGGACTAACACTCTGAAACTGTAAGCCAGCCCCCAATCAAATGCTTTCTTTTATAAGTTACCTTGGTCATAGTATCTCTTCACAGCAACAGTAACTGAGACAGTGTTAAATTTTCAGTTTAAAAGGTAATGCCACATTTAACCTCCAAAGTTACTACTGTATTTTTACATTTTAGTAATTTCTGTGTAAGGGTTATGTGTTCTACATCCTGACCCACTCTTGTGATTCAGGCTTTCTGATCTGTCAGTTCAAAAGATGTCAAATTCATTGTAGTTGTTTACTATATTTCCCTTTCTGTGACAAGTCCATTTTTATCTTTGCCCTTTCTTTTCCTTTGGTTGGTTACCTTTCATGGGAATTCTTACTGTGTTGAGGATGCTAATTGTATCATTTGTTGGTTCTTGTAAACACAGCAGCTAGATATGTAACATAGATGCCTAGTTTAGCTCAGACATTCTTATGGGTTGCATTTATTGAAGGCTTGCCTGGTGCTAAAAGGTTCTTAGATTGTTGGTAGGATCCAGTTCTTTGCTGAACTCTGACCAAAGGTTTACCACATTGACTTCTCTCCTGGGACACAGCAGTGTGTAGCGTCTTACAGTGAGTGGTCCAAGAGAATGATGAGCCATGATGGAGGTAGAAGTCCTTTAGTACCCTAATCTCAGGTGTGGAATAACATTCATTACATTTGTCCTATGCTTGTGATCACAATGACCAACCCTGGCATAGTGTGAATGGAACAGTACATGGTTGTTAGTAGCAGCAGGGAACATTGGGGCCTGCTCAGAGTGTCTGTCATACCAATCTTTTGTTAGTTCTATGTGTTTGTGATGTCTAGTTCTTCCCCAGTTTTTTGTTTGTTTGGTTTTGGTTTTTCAAGACAGGGTTTCTCTGTATTGTTTTGGAGCCTGTTCTGGCACTCGCTCTGTAGACCAGGCTGGTCTCAAACTCACAGAGATCTGCCTGCCTTTACCTCCCGAGTGCTGGGATTAAAGGCGTTCGCCACCACCGCCCGGCTCCCAGTTATTGTTTTGATGTTCATTTTAAATCATATCAACTACCTGTTTGTAACTACTACTTTAAATATACTATAAGAAAACTCTTAGTTGGATTGGAGAGGTAGCTTAGCAGTTAAGGTCATGAACTGCTCTTGCAGTTGATTTCTTAGCACCCAACATCAGGCAGCTCACAACCACCTGTAACTTTAGATCCAGGGATCAGATGCTCTCTTCTGCCTTCTGTGGGCATACATTCAAGTGCACAAACCACCCCCACCACACACACACACACACACACACACACACACAGAATTCATTATCTAAAGTAAAAAGGATATTTTGTATTCTGAAAGTGCTGTCATTTTTGCCTTTTACAGGTAGGTTAATTCATCTAGGTTTTCATTGTAGTTTTATACAGAACAACTTTTTTTTTTCCACTGCTGCAGTTTTAATCAAATAAGAGGAAAAGGTGACATTCCCAAGTACCAAACCTTGAGCAAGGAACACAAAGGCCCCAGGGTGGGCAGGGCTCTGTTTGGCACAGCACCATTTTCACTAGTGTACCCCCTACCCTGCA